TAGTCAACATTCTGCCACTGTACAACTGCCAATGCCTCATTGGAATAGTAAAATTGAGACAGATATTTCAGCCAAATAACTGAAGCAGGTAAAACTCTGCAAAAATGAAATCAGATTAAAACAACATGACTTGTGAAAGCCAGAGCTTACATGGGACATGAAATCACGTAGTCTGGTAGAAGTTTACTCACATTTCATAACAGAGGAATGTACTATTGCCGTCTTAATGGTCAAAGAGAAAGTCAAATAAGCAACCAGCAAGTGGAGCACATTCATTCATTTTCTTTATTTTCCATATATCCATACAGGTAACAAACCTAGGATGTGGCAGTAGTTACTTTGAGAACGGATGTGTCCAGATACATTAATGAAATTACATGAGTTACATAATTAAAATCACTTACATTAATAAATTAACATAAATAATAATATAAAATAAAAACTTAATAAGATTTTATTTAAATTACCTAAATTAACTGATTTATACACATTACAAATTTTGCTACTATTGATGGTTGCTTGCTTAAACACTGATGATGGAGGTGATGCATTCCTCTGTAATGCTGGTAGGCTTTCACACAACTACATCTCATCACATCCCAGAAGATGGTACTTCTCATAACCAATGCTGTGACAAGTTCACCTCCTATATGATAGTTGCATTCCCACTCACCACTGCATGTTCTTTAATTAAGTTGAAGTCATCCTGCAGCTTCACAGAGTGAAAAAATGAGAAAAAAAAGAAAAAGAAAAATGTATAAATACAACTCTTTAATAGACACTTCTGCAGAAGAGTAGTCTAGAAATTAATCCAGAAAAAAATTATGTTCATGTCTCACCATCAAAGTGCAAGGCAAAGAAATATGAAGCTAGCTAATAAATTCTTATGAAGTTCAAAGTTCCTGTAAGTAACAATGACAATAAAAATCAAAATTATAATCATGAAGAGACCAATGGGGTTGCTGTAATGTAGGCTTGTATTAGGGAGCTGCTTGTTTTGAATCTCGGCCAGGGCAGTGGCTATCCCGACAGGTTTTTTGTCACTTTCTTCAATCTATCCACATAGATGTTGGGTAATACCATGATTAAAAAAGAAATGCCTCCTTCCAAACCTTTTCCAACTGATCGTTCATCTACCATCGTACAATACAAAACTACATGGTTCAGCTACTGACAATGTCATAAAATAGCCCACATTAAAATTAAGACAAAACTAGATTGGGGATCTGCTTGCTACCATGCAGACAGGCCAGCTCAGTCAGTATAGTGACTAGACGACAGGCTGGATGACTGAAAAATCAGGGCTTGATTCCCAGCAGGGGCAAGAGATTTGTGTTGTTTCCACAGAGTCCACACTCGCTCTGAAGCCCATCTGGAAACCTATCCAATGGGTACCAGGGTAACTTATACCATGGGTACAGAAGTCAGAGCATGAAGCTGACTGATCATCTCCATCTGATGCCAAGATTATGAATACATTAAGCTAAACCTCCACTCCCCATACGTTTCCATATCACGCTTAGTTAAGCACAAATACAACTCAACCTTTACCCTGCCACCATTCAATTTGGAATCTTTTGCTTTAATGTGCCCTACCTAAAATACTCAAGATTAAAATTTAATCTTGAAGATGGAGACAGCATATTCCTCTGAAACATCAGAACTTGCCTACAAGAGGACACAGTGTCACAACCTAGTATACCTCAATCTGAAAGGAGTAAGACTGTTTAAATACAGTTCCAAAACGGGAAATTAAAATACATGTGACACAACCCAGACACCACTACAAATTATCAATATCATTCACGTTTCAAAATCCCATGAAACAAACAATTCCTAATGCTCGGCACAAGCTGCTTCCATAAAGTAACGGTGAAGTGAAAGTATACTAAATAAAACAAGAAAATCTGGTTCAAAGGGAAACTAATTATACTAAACAGCAGCAAGCTCAGGAGATCTCAAGAACTTATGAAATAAGTGCAGGGAGTAGAGCCTTTTTTAAGAAGCCAAGAGTTGCTCAGCTAGTCAAGAATATCCCACCTCTTAAGAAACCTGAAGGTCCATTTCCATATTCACAAAAGGCCAATGCAAGATCTTATCCTAAGGCAGATGAATCCACTCCACACCTTAGTACGAATTTCACATATCCCCCACTAATGCTCTTCTTTTTCTACTATTCCAGCTTTCTGCTGCCATGTGACAATATATCAAGGTAATCTGCTCACTGCTCTCACAGATTTGAAGCTTTTCTTATGGAAGAAAGAATAAGGAAAGAATGTGACCTGGTCTCCTACCAATACATGTAACACCAAAACTGACAGTTTTCTGTCCAAGAGGAACATTCTTTTTTGTGCTTACCATTCTCTCTGACATTTTGAGAAACAACATGAGGCAAGTGGATGTTTGGATACCATATACACAGGTTGCAAACTGAATGGTGGCAAACATCTCAATCATGTAACCAGGAGAACTTACTAATCTCCATTATCTGGGATCACTGGATTATAAATCCTCTGATACTAAAGGGTTTACAGCTGGATTTTAACTTAAGGATAACACTATTAGAAAAGAAAAGTGCAACTCTTAGCCAGTTGAAAGAGCATGTGTGTACTGGTTCAATGGTACAGCACACAGGTGATTACTTTATAACCAGAAAATAAAATTCCTTTACCTGACATTATCAAAGAAATTAAATCAATTGGAACTGCAGCCACTGTANTGATTACTTTATAACCAGAAAATAAAATTCCTTTACCTGACATTATAAAATATTCCAGCCATTATCAAAGAAATTAAATCAATTGGAACTGCAGCCACTGTTGCCATAGCAGGAGACTCAAATACTGCTGACAGCATGCAACCTGTT